TGGTACACTTATTTTCACGGGAGTCATATTTTTGAGGTCCTGAATCGTTGCCGAGTCCAACGATACCAAATATGTCGGGTTTCGTCTCACGGATGGCGTAGCGTAGCGATTTAGCGCGAAAAAACACTTGGCGATATCTTCAAAAAACCGCTGTTCCGATCGAGACGAAACCACCGTCAGAAACACGGAATCATAGCTTGTTAACTATACGCTAATGCCCAAATGCGTAAATATTGATAGTAAGGGGTAGTAAAATTCAAACAAAGTCATGTGTCAGTCATTTTTTACGTGTTTTTTCATATAAATGTTTATAACTCGGAAGTAAATTGAGATATTTTCACCAAAATTGACACACATATGTATGGGGTCACTCTGAGGACACATAAAAAAAATTGTGGGACTGAGCCTCTTGGTGGCGCTATAATAGAACAAAACGTGAAATTCCCATTGACTTCAATACAGTTTTGTGAAATACAATGCTATACTAAACAAATGCTTTGGTCTAACATTACGAAACTCAGTGTGTGCCATAAGCAGCATGCCCTGAAGGTACTCAAAAGATTTTGAGACAGCGCCACCTGTTGGTCAAAAGTTATAATTAATTTCTGAGAACGCTAATAACTTTTGAATAAATTTGCCTATTGCAATGAAACTGATCTTAATAGATTCCTTGGTTATGCCGAAAACATAGATATCAGGTTTTGCATAATCAGCCAAACTTCCTGTCCGCCATCTTTATTTCTTTGAAAAGCCTTCTTTTTCGAACTCCTCCTAGACGTTTGTCCGATTTTCACGAAAATTTAATCGCATCATCTCCAGACCGTGCCGACTAAAAGTTATGAATTGCACGATGATAGACAAAACCGTTTTCGTATACCACAGCATCAAAGTTTAGGCATGCTGCCAAAATTACTATTTAGGCTTTATCTCTGCAATGCCTTCACATTTTGACACCAAACTTTGCATGTGTCATTGTCACCTCCCTCTGACCACATCACATCTATTTCGTAACTGCGCCACCTATTGTTCGAAAGTGATAACCCATTAAATCATCTTATAAGTTAATGTTTATGTGATTTTTTTAGCCATTTGCCCAAAGTTCTCTCAAAATGCCCTTAATTGCTCCTTGCTGCAGTTGGTCTGCCACTCCTTGCCATTTTGGCATATGTTGCCGCTTCTTGCGCTTGGCCCCGGTAATGGCTGCTTGCAGCTATATTTATTATTATTATTCTTCTTCCGACTGGGCGTCTATGGCAGCCCATAGACCGGTTTGCGGGAAAGTTGTTTTGGTTTGACATTCTGATAGAGGACAGTCCCAACTTTAAATACACCAATTTTGGTGTCTCTAACTCATTCCCTCTAGCGCCACCAACTGTCCAAAGTTTCACTTTTATTATGCTAATAACTTTTGAACCGTAAGGCCTATCAACAAAATTCTTTTTTCCTCTTGTTCCTGAGCTCATGCCGATTCGATCGCACCCTATGACGTCATTTTCCGTCATAAAAAAACGGCCGCCATTTTGAATTTTCCAAAAAACCTACTTTTGCGAACTCGTCCTAGACGGTTTGTCCGATTTTCACCAAAATCGCACCGGATCATCTCCAGGCAGTGCTGACAAAAAGTTATGGAATTCAAGATGATTCGAATAACCGTTTTCGATTAACGCGTAAACAAAATTTACGAAGCGCTTGCGAAAACAGACGTATGGTTGTATCTCCGCAACGCTTACTCGTTTTCAGACCAAACTTGGTACGTGTCATCACAAGCATGACCTGAGGCTACGTGCTGCGTTTCGGCGCAGTGCCACCTAGTGGTCCGGAGATATGAAAAATGGCTATTTTTGCTCGTAACTTCTGAACGGTTTGTCCAAAAATCATAAACTTCATCTCGTTAGATTCAGGGCATCATGCCGAGTCGACCGATATCCAATTTTCCCAGATCGGCCATTTTGGCTGTCGGCCATTTTGAATTATGTGCTAAAATGCTGTATTTTTTGAACGCATGAACGAATTGTTACGAAACTCGGTATGGGTCATCAGTACGATGCCCTGAAGGAGCCTGAGAAGTTTCGAAACAGCGCCACCTAGTGGTGAATTGTTTTATTCAAACGCTTATAACTTTGGGTGTGGTACACTTATTTTCACGGGAGTCATATTTTTGAGGTCCTGAATCGTTGCCGAGTCCAACGATACCAAATATGTCGGGTTTCGTCTCACGGATGGCGTAGCGTTGCGATTTAGCGCGAAAAAAACACTTGGCGATATCTTCAAAACCGCTGTTCCGATCGAGACGAAACCACCGCCAGAAACACGGAATCATAGCTTGTTAACTAAACGCTAATGCCCAAATGCGAAAATATTGATAGTAAGGGGTAGTAAAATTCAAACAAAGTCATGTGTCAGTCATTTTTTACGTGTTTTTTCATATAAATGTTTATAACATGGAAGCGAATTGAGATATTTTCACCAAAATTGACACACATATGTATGGGGTCACTCTGAGGACACATAAAAAAAATTGTGGGACTGAGCCTCTTGGTGGCGCTATAATAGAACAAAACGTGAAATTCCCATTGACTTCAATAGAGTTTGTGAAATAAAATGCTATGCTAAACAAATGCATTGGTGTAATATTACAAAACTCAGTGTGTGCCATAAGCAGCATGCCCTGAAGGTACTCAAAAGATTTTGAGACAGCACCACCTGTTGGTCAAAAGTCATAATTAATTTCTGAAAACGCTAATAACGTTTGAAAAAAAATGTGCCTATTGCAATGAAACTGATCTTAATTGATTCCTTGGGTTATGCTGAAAACATAGATATATGGTTTTGCATAATCAGCCAAACTTCCTGTCCGCCATCTTTATTTCTTTGAAAAACCTTCTTTTTCGAACTCCTCCTAGACCGTTTGTCCGATTTTCACGAAAATTGAATCGTATCATCTCCAGACGGTGCCGAATAAAAGATATGGATTGCGTGACGATAGACAAAACCGTTTTCGTATACCACAGCATCAAATTTGAGGCATGCTGCCAAAATGACTATTTAGGCTTTATCTCTGCAATGCCTTCACATTTTGACACCAAACTTTGTATGTGTCATTGTCACCTCACTCTGACCACATCACATCTATTTCGTAACTGCGCCACCTATTGTTCGAAAGTGATAATCCATTAAATCATCTTATAAGTTAATGTTTATGTGATTTTCTTAGCCATTTGCCCAAAGTTCGTTTAAAATGCCCTTAATTGCTCCTTGCTGCAGTTGGTCTGCCACTCCTTGCCATTTTGGCATATGTTGCCGCTTATTGCGCTTGGCCCCGGTAATGGCTGCTTGCAGCTATATTTTCTATAGTTTTTCTCTGAATGAGCATGAGGGGGAAAAAATGTTTTAACCTAGTCATTTTCATTTAATTGAATTTATATGCAATTTATTATTTAGTACGCTTCTGCCCACCAAGCATTGTATCTTATTTTTATTTGGTAAAAATAGAATCTGAAAACACTCGTATTGTGAAATATTATAATTTAAAATAAAATGTAATTTTAAAACATAATCCTTTAGAAATCATTCTAATTGTCTGAATTAATGCCAATGAAACATTTCTTATTATCTGTGTTGAAAACAGTTTTTTTGTGGCATTATACAGTAAATGTCTATACTGTATATATATATACATATTTGAAAAAGGGCATACAGAGACTGATGACAGTCAAACTAACTGTACAAACCTTTGCACTGTTTTTACTACTCAAGTGTGTACATGACTCTATTAAAGCATTTTTGTCTTAACACTTCCATAGTCATGAGGCAAGAAAGGATCGTAAAACTAATCAAATAATAGTAATGGCCAGATAAGAAGCACTACGTTGCTTAATTTGAATCACCAGCTAGATACCATAAATATTCCACCCAGCGCTACTTACACTTTAAGTGGATCAGAGAACTTCACGGCAAAAAAAATAAAATGATTAAATATGTATGACATGACCTCTTTAAGGGCGCTTCTGGACGGGAGAGGATCCCTGAGCAGTTCAGGGTCTGTGGAAACCAGCACTCACCCCCTTAAATCAATACTATCTCCCTCGATTTTCTGCCTCATCTGAAAGGCATTACGTAATTCCAAACCATTAGCTAAATATAGCTCTTTTGTCCTCTCAGACAGAGGAACGGTGATTCTGGGAAGGGTTTGTGATATCCAGAGTAAACTTAATTTGATTGCTGTAATGTGTTTGCGACAGTCTCCTGACCTCACTATGGCTGTCACTTCATTGGATCAGACATGCATTTGTCTCTGAGTAAACCTCTCATCTGAGTGTAGCTTATTTTGAAGATATTTTATATTTTCAGGCTTGATGATGATGATGTCTCAGTTACAAGAGATTTAATCTTGTCCTGACTCTCTAAACTGCAAAACTGTGACTGCGGACCACAGTGAAATTATTCTTTTTTTTAGATACCTTTTCCCCCAATTGTTTTGTGTTCACCAAATAAGAGGTAGCAGAAGTATATCGTTCAAATTATGCAGTATATTAACTTTATGCAATTGTTGGATTGTCGTGCAACAATGTTATTTTTTTGTGTGTGTGTTTGGAGTTCACAATTGATTGAGATTATACCATTTTAATAATTTCTTAAAATTTTGATTACATATTTAATGGAAATCTTTAGCATATATATGTATAGGCTTAGTTAAAAAAACATAATAATAATAATTTAAATATAATTTATTCAATATAAGTTTAATTAATATTTAATATAATATAATTTATTTAATATCAGCCAGCTTTTGGCCATAATAACATGATGAATAATAAATTATCAGTATAATTTATATATTTTTTATATCAGTCTCATCACTGTCGGGTGGGCTTTAGAGAGAAGGATCTAGGTGTCTTATTGGCTTATCACTTTTTTTGTGTAAAAGGGTAATAACTGCCATAAGGCTGAATATTTGGTATATTGAGTATGATCAGTATTTTCTATTCTTGTGTTTACAGGTGTCCTGGGCTAGTGTGTGTGTCCGTGTGAGTGAGTTTATTTCTACATGTGAGTGTGACCGTGTATCATCATAATGGCCTCGGCGAGTGTGACCTTGGAGAATCAACTGCACAGTGCGCAGAAGAACCTGCTGTTCCTGCAACAAGACCATGCCAACACATTAAAAGGCCTTCACGCTGAGATCCGCCGCCTACAGCAGCACTGCACAGGTACACACTCATGCCAATACACTTACAGCACACACATTATTTAATTGTAAAATGTCTACAGTAAATAAAGCACTATAATCATTAAAAATGAAGTGTCTAATTTATTTAATGGCTCAAATTCTTATAATAAATGCTTGAGTAAAATAGTTTTGCTGATAAATTAATTTCAATTTACAGTGCATTTCATTTACATTTTATTAGGTCACTTTTGTATTGTTTTTATTTTATTTTTGGACCTTTGCCACTTTTTATTTAGAGGACATTTGAGATTTGACAAAATAAGGACGAAGAGGGTAGGACGGGATTAGGATGTGACTCTAGCCGGATTTGAAATCACCCACACACTTGCCCTCATGAAATGTTTCCAAGCCTGCTGTGTATTACATGACAAGCAACTCTTGTATTAGTTTAATGATGTCAGCATCTTGAGGTCACTTTGGTGTCATTTTAAACATCTGCATCAAAAACAAACACAAGTCTCTGGCTGGCACATACTGCATGTACATCTAATGCAGTCCTGCCACCAGGTCACCTCTCCACGCTAATAGAGTAAAACAGTGCCACAGGGATTAATATTCATGCCTGGGAGAATACAGTTCATCTCTTAGAGGCGCGATCCTCATTAATGTTGCTTCACACTCAAGCGGCAACATTCTAAGCTGAAAGATGAAGCCTACCCGGAAGTATGATAAACTGCAATACATCTCAAATCCGCTAGAGGCCGGTCCCAAAAGGGAGCAAATATCCATAGACGTCATGTTATAATGTCCGTTTTCACAGCATAAATTCATATGTTTACAGTTTGGTCCCATGGACTTTTATTGTAATCTTCAATATGTTCCGCGTGCCTGACAACTGTGAGGGGGGTGAATTTTTTTGTAACTCGTTAGTTTAGATCATATTTAGATATAAAACGTATGACAAATAAGGGCGGTTAACTTTGACAGCTGATAACGGGCTGCGCCGAGTGAATTTGACGTCTCGGCCATGATCTGACACAACACATCATACCACCTCTGTATCCTTTCTGAACATTTGTATTTTGTACTTCCCAAGATTTTCCAGTATGGCGCCGCCCATACCCCCCATAAACAGCGAGTCTATGGGTGTCGTCACAGACGCTTTGTCCATATTTTTTACAGTCTATGTTCACACTCCAATCTACGGAGGCGTATTGCATTCACTTGAAGAAAAAAAATCTACTCTGTTTTTCTGAATTAACAAGTTAATTTTTCATGAGAAAAAAAATTTGCTCTGTTTTTCTGAATTAATGAGTTAATTTTTCATGAGAAAATTTTTTTTGCTCTGTTTTTCTGAATTAACGAGTTTATTTTTTATGAGAAAAAAAATTTTGCTCTGTTTTTCTGAATTAATGAGTTAATTTTTCATGAGAAAAAAAATTTGCTCTGTTTTTCTGAATTAATGAGTTAATTTTTCATGAGAAAAAAGTTTTTGCTCTGTTTTTCTGAATTAATGAGTTAATTTTTCATGAGAAAAAAAATTTGCTCTGTTTTTCTGAATTAATTAGTTAGTTTTTCTTGAGAAACAAAAGTTTTTGCTCTGTTTTTCTGAATTAATGAGTTAATTTTTCATGAGAAAATTTATTTTTGCTGTTTTTCTGAATTAACTCATTAATTCAGAAAAACAGAGCAAAAAAAAAAATTCCATTAAAAATTAACTCATTAATTCAGAAAAACAGAGCAATTTTTTTTTTCTCATGAAAAATTAACTCATTAATTCAGAAAAACAGAGCAAATAAAAAATTTCTCATGAAAAATTAACTCGTTAATTCAGAAAAAAAGAGCAACATTTTTTTTCTCATGAAATATTAACTCATTAATTCAGAAAAACAGAGCAAATTTTTTTTCTCATGAAAAATTAACTCGTTAATTCAGAAAAACAGAGTAGATTTTTTTTCTTCAAGTGAATGCAATACGCCTCCGTACCAATCAACATGAAATCCTGCTCCTATTGTGTGTAATTCATTAATGCACAAAAAAACAGCAAAATATCAAAACAAATCAATAGAAAGTCAACATGAAATCCTAGTCCTATTGTGTGCATAAAAAAAACTGAATAAGCAAAATAGGAAAAGGAAAGTCAACATCAAATTTTATTAATCCACAAAAAAAAAAAAAAAAAAACAATCCAGGTCAATTTTCACTCAGACTACAGACTTGAAAGGTTCATGTTTTTGACTCCCACATGCTTTTTTATCCCTAGTTGACTCTGTCTTCTGTTGCTCTCGCCTCCTGTTGCAGGTGATGTCTTGTGTCATGTGATCTTCAACTGCTGTCATTGACGGTAGTGTGATTCTCTGTGCCTGCCTAACATTTGATCTCTCTCCCCCCCCCCTCCTTCTCTCACACTCCCCCTTTTGTCGTCCTGTCCAATCCCTCTGTCCTCTCTTTTGCTTCACAGAACTGACATATGAGCTGACAATGCGGAGCTCAGATCCAGGGGGTAAGATTTCTCACGCACACTTTGTGTGTCTGCATTCACACAAACATGTGGTCAGAACAAAATGCGTGTCCAAGGGAGCTATGTGTGTGTCAGGTGTTGCTAGGGTGCTGTTAAAGTGCCAAAAATGTACCCGTTAAAAGAAATCTCAGATAGCCTGGTAGATGGACAGGAGAAGAAAGGCCGCTCATATTTAGCTTCTTGTTTGTCTGGCAGTCTCTTTATTTATCTTCCACTGTCTTGCTCTCTTTGCAAAGGTTGTAAATAAGACTTTTTTTGTCCCTCAACAGCACACATATACCACCACAGCCGTGCCTTGCAACCTGGCAACCAGCACACACATACGACATTTCCCTCTCTCCCCCTTTATATATTACCCTGTTCAATATATGTTATCCTTTCAGTCGCACAGTAGCACAAACACACAATGCACTGATGAAACGTTTAGGCGAACGCAGTTCCCACAGACAAGACAAAACACTGAAAGTTTTCCAATGTTCTTCTGTACATGATAATGACTGACTGTACATTATTATATTTATTGTAGACATGCATACATGACATATTGATATTGATTACGAAAAATAGCAAAATAGTAAGAAGAAATAAAAGTCCATTATAAAAGAAACGTTTGCAACTGACCAATCAGAATCAAGTATTCCTGAGAGCTGTATAATGAATTCGTTTCACATTTGTTTGGCGTCTGCATGGCTGTTTGTGTTCTCGCGTGTGGCAGATGTGAGCCAGTTTCGAGTCTAGCACAGGAAATGAGATTATGAATGACTGCGCTAATACAGCACTAATGCAAAAGGCTAATGCACCGTCTGCAACCTGCTGACTAGATCCCTACGCTCATGTTCCTAACAATAGACATGAGATTCAAGATGATAACTACAAGCAATCTCTCATACTGAAGCTGTCGCTGTGACCTCAGATGACTGTGCTGGAGTGTGTTTCGTGGTTGATATATTATGGTTGTCTAACTGGTTTTGTGTGAATTTGAAGGTGACCTCATTAACTTGTGTGGCTGTTTTGGTAATGAAGCGGTCAGGGAAAGTGAGAGAAAAAAAAGCTAAAAAAATGTTTTAAAACAGACGCTTATATGCAGATCTGCGTCTGTGTTCTTTAATTTGCGTGTCGTCAGTATTTCAACCACTCCCACCAGCGTTTTTTTCCGTTTTGCCCTGTTTTATAAATCTGTCCCTTTTTTGGTAAATTTGCAAAAAAAAAAATCTGATTAATTTCATCAATTTTGCTGATTTAGATTTTTAGTTACATTTGCTAAATCTTTTGTTAAATTTCCTGATTCTATAATAAATTGTATTTTATTTTGTATTTCTTTTATAATTTTATTTTATAATATTTTATTAGATTCTTTTATTTTATTTTATAATATTTTATTATATTCTTTAATTTTAATTTGATTTCGCAGTTACAAATGCTTAGTTTTTGTAATGCAAATAAAGCACACTAAATTTAAATTGATATAAAGCAAGAGAGCAGGGGAGTACATGAGAGAGAGAAATCCTCCCGAGTGCAATTGTTTAGACTCTTGCAAAGCTGAAGGTCAGTAAAGCAGGGCACTGCTATTCCCTCAACCTTCATATCCATTAGCAGTGTAATGGGAGATAGGATCTGTGTCTGTGCCTGCCTTGCTCTCCCCCTCGCCTCTCTCAGACCCACCCCAAATATATCTTTAACATGGCATTTATAAGACTAAACCAGTGTTTCACAGATTCCAAATGGATAACATGCAGTAAAAGATGCTTCAGAATTATCCGTGCAATTTCAGTCTCTATCCAGCTAAATTTATGGAGAAATCGATCAAATCTGTGCTGAGCTAAGCTAAATGAGCTGTTCCCATAATACAACAAATGCTGGTTGTCAAAAGCTGAACATCAGACCTTAAGGGAGCGATGGGAGAGAGTCCCTGTTCCTGGTTTGATGTTTCATAGCCATTAGTTTCTTAGAGGTAATTGGTTTATTGATGTCTGATTCACAGTTCACTACTGCCCTCTATAGGCTAATGTAGGTTTTTAGGTTGTTTTTATTTTTTGCACTTTGCAGAAATAACTTTATTTGAATGTATTATATTATTTCAGACTGTTTTTTTTTAACACAATAGTTTTTTTTCTAAAACATAGTGAGCTTTTCTGCCTTCTATGATCATCACAGAACCTCACATGCGATCAATTTAAAAACACTCAATATAGCTAATAGCTAAACTCATGCGTCACACAAATAGCACTGCAGACTAGAGACTCAGATATTGATTTGAAATGGAGTTTGGCGTTATCGTTTTTCTAAGCTAACAAGCCTATACTTTAATAAGCATAATACACGGCACACACACACATTTGATTAAATAGTCTTATTTTAAATATACTGAAAGTGTCAATACTTCAGTAGTGAATGAAACAGTTTATTTTTTTATCAGAAGCTTTCCACACATTCTCCACCATTTTGGATTTATTTTCACTCAGGTTATATTGCAGTGCTTTCTGGGATGGCCTTCATTGAAGGATATCTGTAATTCTGCTAAAAGGGGGTATTTTAGGGGATGCATAGGCAGCTATTTGTGTTTTGGAATAGAGCAGGGCTCTTCAAGCCCAGTCCCGGAGACCCAGTGTCCTGCAGGCATTAGTACCAATCCCAATTTAACCCACCCGCCTGTAATTTTCAGGTAATTCTAAATATCTTGCTTAGCTTGTTTGCTTGTGTTTGGTGCAGGTTAGTGCTAAACTTAGTTAGCAGGACTCTGGCCATCCATGACTGGAGTTGAAGAACCTTGGATCAAAGTATATTACATATGACGTGTATAGCATCCCTTTAAATGTTTGCATGTATCTTCTTTCTCTCTCTCAGATGATGGCGAGTCTCGCTGCAGAGAGCTGCACCAACGCTGTGAGGAGCTGGAGGCTCAGCTGAAGGCTAAAGAGCAGGAGAACACGGAGCTCCTGCGGGATCTGGAGCAGAAGAATGCCATGATCTCAGTGTTGGAGAACACCATCCGTGAGCGAGAAAAGAAGTACCTAGATGAGCTAAAGTTGAAGAGCCATAAGTTGGCCGTGCTGTCCGGAGAGCTGGAGCAAAGAGCCAGCACCATCGCCTACCTCACCTCCCAGCTCCACGCCACCAAAAAACGCCTTCTCGCCGGCGGGAGGGCTGGTGCAAGCCCCTCCGTCAGTCCCGTCAGCTCTTTAAAACCCAGCCCTCCTCCCGCTCCAGTGCCGTCGGGAAACGACAAGGACATCCAGCAACCCGAGACTCCTCGCAGACGCATGCGCAAAAGCCTTTCGCAGCCGCTGCACTCTGAATACACAGAGCTGTACCGGTTGGGCGCCGCAGACGGCCGTAGGGTGGTACTGAGAGATTCGGTAGATGCCATGCCGGATCCTACACCATTCCTGCAAGCCAGAGAGCCAGCGGCCCCTGCAGAGTCTCAAGCAGTGATGCGGGAACGCCCCTCTGTGATCCCGCCCATCGCTTCTTCAGCCACACCCCCTGCACCTTCAAGCCCCGCCCACATCCCCGTGCCTCCGAGCCCTAGGAATAGCCCAGCGCGGGACGGACCCCATCCCCGCCCTAACGCGCATATAGGAGTGGCCCATCGGATCCACCGCTCACCCTCATCAGGTGGAGGAGCAGCTCGGAAACAGGCGGAGGTGGAGACCCTCGCCGTGGACCAGGTCAATGGGGAACAAGTGGTTCGCAAACGCTCAGGTGCAGACAGAACTGTTTAAGACTGACAACTGTGCACATTTACACATCCTAAAACATAGTATATCAACATAGATGTATTAAGACCAATGCAGTATATGCGGAGCTCCTTATGACTGTGAAAACACACACACACACAGGCCCATACAGATGCTCAAATCATCAACACATCACTTGTCAATAAACGTATCAAACACAATACACTACGGATAGATATAGACACTAACAAACACAGTCACACAGCTCAAAGTTGGGAAATGCTGAACAAAACGCACTGGCGAGGTTTAGGCAAAGACTGTTTTTTCCGGAAGATTGAGAGACTACGGATGGCAGCAAGAGCTTCTGAATGTCCTGCTGCTTTTATGCAACACTGTATAAACGGAAAGACTTTTGTTCATGGTTCATTTGAATAACGTCTTTGTTTCACGTCAGTTGAGAAGGAGAACTGTGAGCATGCCAAATGATTGTTTTCCTGTTTTCCTTTCCCATTTGACTTTTTAGCCTCTTTTTTTTTTTGCGCGTTCTGTTCTTCTTGTCATCAATGTCCCGCTCTATTTTACTCAAGGTGCAAACACACACACACACACACAATCATATATTGCCAAATGTCGTCATTGCCTGCTGATTTAATGTTCTAATGCATATTCATATCTAGTCATATTTATTCATGAGCACTGCAGTAGTACTGGCATCTCCTTCAGCTCTCCTTCCCCTCTCACTCACGTATCTACTGGCTAATGTGAACAATCCTGCTGCTCCTTATTAAACTCCTACTGAAATCAACGTCTCAAAGGGGTCGCTTCTATTCATAATCTCATTGCTGCACTTACTTTTATTAATAATACTCTAGGCATAAAAATAATTGAAGATGTTGTGTTGGGTGAAAAAAGTTGGAGCTGCATTAACATATATTGGGAAGAAATTCCTCCTGGCTAATTCTAAACACAGAGGGTAAATATACTGTCTCTGTGAATATCAAGTGTAAGAAAATGCTGTTAGTTTGGGGGTTTTTGCACATGGCCATGTGCATTTAATCAAAGTTATTTAATTTTAACTCAGCCTTATGTAATTTAAATGATATCTAGAATATTGAATGTGTAACATTTTTTTTATTTATTTATTACAGGATTATTATTTATATGGACTGTTAAAGAATGAAGACTTTTATAGTGCCTTTGGTTCTTTTTACTATCCCTTTAAACTATCCCTTTAAAACTTGACGTTTACCTTGTTATCCTCACACTTCCTCCCAGTTCTCATTATTGTTATTTGAACAAAACAGCATGTGCCTTCAGATTATATGACTCTTAATTTTCACAAGTTTATTCTGATCTGTTTCAGATTTGGTTTTTAAAGGGATACTCCACTTTTTTTTGTAAATCGGCTATTTTAACACTCCCCCAGAGTTAAACAGTTGAGTTTTACCGTTTGTGGTAAAATGAGCCTATTTCCCCAAAAAAGTGGAGTATCCCTTTAAGTTTGCAGATAGAGAGAGGAAGCTGGTTGAACGCTACCTAATGTAACCGCTCCATTCATACAGTATGTATTTCTAACATGTTAAGTGTAATCTACCACATCTGTTTATATTACTCAATGATGTGCATTTCAAATTCTTGACTGAGAAGCAGAAACAAAAAGTCTGATATGGCCAGTGAACGAAGAACAAATGGATTTATTGTATGTTTTACTTGAATCAAGCCACATTTACCCATATTTCCTGCTGAAAAATCCAGGTATGGTTTGCATGCTGGGAAAAGGGGTAAGGATACTTATCAAATAATGACAGTTAAGTTTGATTCTTGCATCTCGCCCATTTGAATAGAAGTGTCCTAATGCAATTTTTTGAAGCTCCAGTTGATCTTTGCTGATGTTGTCTTGATGTGAGAGAACCAGTTGGAGTCAGAGGATCTTTGGTGAATGGAAAGACAAGGCCAAAGCTGGCGCAAACCTGGGGTTCTTAGAAGACTTCTTGCTCAGCATCATCTTCACGTCAGAATTTCTCCGAATCCACCTCCAGGAGGTCAGTGAGCTTTATGCTTTCAGAGGACAAGTTTATGATCCTTTATCTTTGAGCATGGTGTTTTGCCTACGTAATTTGTTTGGGTGTTGATGGAGAAACTTAAAGATTCTTATACTAATATTCTGCACAGGTATCAACTTATAATATAAAGGATCTTTCAAGAAATTGACTTAGAAACTTTAGATACCTCACATGGTATATAAAGTATGTGATCTTGATGAAGCAATTAAAGGAGTAGTTCACTTTAACAAAAAAAACTTTTGCTGAAAATTTACTCACCACCATGTCATCCAAGATGTCCATGTCTTTCTTTCTTCAGTCGAAAAGAAATTAAGGTTTTTGATGAAACATTCCAGGATTTTTCTCCATATAATGGACTTCAGTAGTCCATTAGACAGTTTCAGTGCAAACTGTTCAAAGGGTTTCAAACGATTCCAGACGATGAATAAGGGTCTTATAAAGCGAAAAAATCGCTCATTTAAAAAAAAAAAAATAACAAAGTTTAAGTTTTATAAGCTCAAATGATCGCCTTGCTATGTTCTGTGATGCGGGTTCTTGACTCTCCTGTTCGAACTCGTTCATCAAAATGAACGAATCTTTTCCAGGGTCAACTCATTCATTTCGTTCGTTGAAAGATTTGTTCATTTTGATAAACGAGTTCAAACAGGAGAGTCACGAACGTGCATCACAGAACAGAGCAAGGCGACCATTTGAGCTTATGAAACTTTTTTTTAACATTAGCGATCGGTTCGCTTGAATGTTTTCATCAAAAACCTTAATTTTTTTTCGACTGAAGAAAGAATGACATGGATATCTTGGATAACATGGGGACGAATAAATTATCAGCAAAAGTTTTTTTTTTTTTTTTTTTTTTTTAAAGTGAACTACTCCTTTAAGGCTAAAACATGCATTTAAAGAGTTTTAGAATAGATTAATACAAAGGCAAAACGCTATAAAGAAACAAATGCTAGGAAATTTGGACACATGATTGTGCATATCTCAAGTGCTTCTAAATATAGGATTAGAATGGACGGTAAAGAAAGAATGAATTTAGAATTATATTCTACATTTCTTCGAGTTGTAAACCAGTCTTATCAGAACTCTACCTCATGGTTTGCTTATGGGTGAGGCGTATTGTGGTTTATTTGTTAGATATAACAAATAATTGTTATGCTATACCAGCATGGACAGTGGGATTGTTGGTGGAGTTTTGCATGAGTTGGTCTAGTCCAACGCTATACCAGCACTAACAGCATAAACCTGGACCAACATGGATTTTATGCTGGATTTTCCTGCGTATCACTCACACAGAATGAAAAAGGACAAAAAGTCAAGTATTGTAGGAAGTATATTTCATTTATTTTAGAAGTACAAAAATAAACATACATACTGATAAACGGATCTAAGAAGGTGTACAAGCGAACGTAATTCAATCTTATTGGTTTAAGCCAATCAACTGGTTGGAAAAGAGCATGAGGAAGTGAGGTAGAATGCGCCCGACCCCCTTTAACAAGATTTGCTCTTGACTCGACACACTTCATCAAGCTTATTATTGTTAATGTGATTTCACCATAAGCCTTGTTTTATTTTGAATGTTGCTGACGTAAATGGCAAGAACAAACAGATTAAAACATTGAGAAGTTTGAAAAGGCTGAGTAGAGAACTAAACAAACAATAATATACAGGATATATATACATATGGTGCTCTGAAAGACTCATTAGATAATAAACTACCAACCCTTTAGCATATATATTTAAACAATTTTACAAAATTATTTAAAATTTTACAAAATTCAATTATTCAAGGAAACTAAATGATGAAAAATCTACATTGTTCATTAAAAAAAATAAACATCGATCTGATGTTTAAATAATGTCCAAACTTCTGATTTCAAGCTTGTGCTCATCATAACTCGCTTCCAAGCCAAAATACAGCAAACAATGTAAATGGATGTGGTCTGTTTCTTGGGCAGAAATCCTTGATAGTGCTGTTTGATTGCATTTAGTCCGTGATTTAACACTGCATGTCACACATTTTTATTTAGTAAGACTATGTTTTATTGACAGATGCAAAAAGGTGCCCAAGAATGACCTGTGCCAATTGCCAAAATTGCCCTTTATGACAGAAAGTACCCAAGTAAGAAAGACATCACGAGTCCCAAGACTGTCACGCAGTTATAAAGGGGTCCGGCACTGGCAGCACCCGTGTAGTAATCCACATCTGTCTCGTTATGATCTCCTGAATGCCCGTGTCCATGCCCGTGTCCGTGCCCGTGCCCATACCCAGCGCCATAGCCTCCGTACCCTCCATACCCTCCGTGCCCGTACCCGTATCCGGGTCGAGCCATTGAGCTCAAGCCGTGGCCGACCAGCATTCCCCCCAGAGCTCCAGCGGCTGCCGCTCCTGCTACCCTCCCAGTGCTGTGTCCCGAGGAGCCTCCGGTGTGAACAGGTGGGGCATGGTAATGCCCTCCTCCACCTCCGCCTCCTCCTCCCCAGCCCGCACGACCAGAGCTGCTGCCGCCCCATCCTCCACCTCGACCCCCGCCACGGCCGAAGCCTCCACCCCGACGCGACTGGACCGCCGGGAGCATCACAGTCAGGAGTAACAGGCAATTCACCAAAGAGATGATTTTATATTGGGAGGACATGCCGGGAGACGCTGTGAAAACAGAAGGCCAGAGGTTGACTACCGTGTAGACTGGTTACATGAGATCATCTGAACGGTGTGTGCATGCACACACTCTTTGAAAGAGTTCAACATAATCCGGAGAACCAATAAGTCTTTTGACTCGTCGGTCACAATGAGATTTGTCCTTCAGTGATTAGTGGACACGAGGACACAGACAGTGTTATGAGAGGGATGTCGACAAAGCCAATAATGCCACGAAGAGAAATTAGTCTCATTTAATGAAATGTGTAGAGGCTCTTAACGGCAGGTATTTTTGCCTTGTTTTTCCGTAAAAAAAACAAACAAGACAAATGTACAAACCACAAACTGTTTTCAGATACAAGTTTTTAAATATGTGTATTACTATTTTTAGTAGGCTACCATATTGGCAAGTCTTTTTAAATTATTTTCAAGGATATAATAATGAATATATTAATTATTGTAGTTATTAATGATTAAATATACAATATTGATTAACTCTAAAACCGTATTCTGGACAAATGTGGGGAAATAGTTTTAATTTTTTTTTTTTTTTTTTTTTTTTAATACTTCCCTTGATCTGAGTGGTACAAGACCTGGCTACTTTCCTAAGTTTGCCCCCTGAACACTTTTTTTTTTTTTAATTCTACAATGTTATGTGAGTGGAAAAAAAAAAAAAAAAAAAAAACTCAAAAATGGGCACTCATAGAAATGAATGGGAAAAACTGTAATTTAGAGCATTCTAAAATAAGCCAAAATAAGACACCAGGTGAAAGCAAAGTCACTTCATCTTTAGGGTTTAGCTCTAAGAACTTATTGGAATGATATTTTAATGTAGTTTAATAAATAAATAAATAAAACATAACAATAAGCCTAATTTACACAGAAAAAATTGTATTTTTTGAAGTAAATAAATACAAATAAAAAAAATAAATAAATAAAAAAACACCATAAATGAATAGAGAAAACTTTATCGAAGACAGTGAAATAACATTTATAATAAATAAAAATTAGGATGAGTCCTCTGTGCCCACATTTGTCCACAATTCCAGGATTAAGGGCTATAAAGTGAATACGGTTTGAGGGCCATTATTTTTTGGTTGTAAATCAGGTTCTGAATTGACTCATTTATTGCTTGACTAGAACTTGTGAAGCGTATGATCTTCCACCATTATGCACCATAACATATCTCTATGAATGTTCTGATCTAGAGTCAGACAACGAAACTAGCAGCACATGATCTTGTCAGAAACATGGCCCACCATTCTGGCAGCTTTAGAAAGCTAATCAGTTTTCATTCAGTGTTTGGTTATCTCATCTTTCAATATTCTCGTCCTCCGCACAAATCACACATGCAACAAGATTTAGTCCAAAAGCGAACGATTTTAAAAATAAACGTTTACAATTGAATGTTTTAAAAAAAATGGTCATAAGGACCCTAATGTAAACCATTGGAATTTGCATCAAAAGCAAATGTTTTCATACAATTATCTTCATTGACATGATATACAAGCATTTGATTTAAAAAATGAACAGAAATAAACAGCATTCTGCAATAGGAAAAATCTAACTTTCAAGCATGGGTATTGTACTTTCCTTCAGATATTCTTAAAAAATAAAATAGCTTAGTCCCTCCCCAAAGGAGAAAACACTGACTTACGTTGAATACGTGTGTGGATGAAATGTCTTTTTGGGAAGGTGGCTGTCCAAGTGTCGTCCTCCTCTGTAGTCTGCTGAGCTTGAATGGATGAGAGTATGAGACACAACTCACACATTTACACGTACACAGTGGCATTAACTGACTGCTGCTCATTCTCTGATTGGCTGAGTGAAGGAACCTACGTCGGTCCGTCTCACCGGCATAGGATCAGAACATTGCTCTAATCCATCAACAGGATTAAGAAAGTCTATGGATTTGACATACGTGTTTAAGCCCAGGGGTCATAGTGTGGGGTCGTTGCGTCTCTCCATGAGCTCAGAGATGGTTAGGTAACACATTAGTGGACCTACAGTCAAATCATGTGGAAGACAGAGAGTTCTTACATTTACGCTGCTGTTGGTAGTATGTGCTACAAAAATATTGGTCATTATAAGAAAAGCAACGGGGTCCAAATGTCTGAGAAGACACACATGTAAAACAGAACCCAGATAACATACAGATAGGTCTCATCTGGGTTAACTATGTGACATAGCCTATTGCTAATTTCCGGCAGCAGAAAAGGTCATGGACTGTTTCAGGCCCATACACATCAAGCTGGTTTTAGTGTGTCTCAGGTGGAGTCATTGCCTAGACTAGTCATTGCCATCATTCCATGCGGTATGTGGGCCAGAAGAATGTGGGAGATCATGTGGGCTACAACTGGGCCAGATGTCATGTGTGAGTAACATTTTAACTTGCACTCTTTTGGACTCTAACTGCTAAATCCATAGTGGGCATATTCACAATTATGTGTAGATCTAGATAACCAATATGATGTCACAAATGTGAAGTATCATAATACCAAGATGAATATTCTGGTGGAAATTTTAATCATGAAACTATAGCCATGGCATGTTAGACTAACATCTATGATCTTACCTTATTTAACATCTTACAGAATGTACTGTTTGAAACCAAGGGAAAACTTTTGACTTTGAGTGTGACTGTGTGTATTATAACAAATATGGGAAATGCAACTAGACAGGTGTCTAAACTCGAAACCAAAAACCATAGTTTGGTTACCTAGTAACAAGAGGGCTTTTGTCTATGAAGAACCAATCGAATTAAGTAGTTTCATATCATTTTTGCCATATCTCCTTATTCTATAAAACTGTTGTATATTTGTGTTTTATTGATGGGATTCTCAGTGGATTATGTCTGAGATCCGCCGGCCATGCATATTGCTTCTTTTTGTGAGATTTCATAAGAACTAAAAAAATCGACGACACTATTTCATCTACTGTAGATGGAATGTATGGAAGCCTGTTTCCACCACATAATAAAAATATAATTACCACTTTATATCTCTTAATTCTGACTTTTCCCCCTCAAAATTATGAAATAAAAACTCGCATTTAACTCTCAATTGCGAAAAAAACCCCGACATTTGTAAAATAAATAGTCGCGATTAGCCTTTTTATTTTTTATTCAGTGACGGAAACTTCCATAGTAGCCTAGGTTAATGCATATACATAATGTCCCCTTGGAATTATAAGATTCTATCTGACATTTTTTGTCAAAATTGAGTTATTCACATATTCTTATTCTGTGACAACTTATTTAAATTATGTGATGTGTTTTTTAAGTTGTGTTCATTGTGGGACTTTTTATTGAAAAAACAAAAAGGTTCTATCTACAAAGTCGAACTCTAACTTGGCTCTATAAGGTTCTATCTGCATGAGCCAATCAGCACTGAAATGCACAGAAGAGGACCTCGAAGGACCTTTTTCCTCGAAGACAAGAAACCCCATAAAGGCATAATGCCATACATTTACAGTAAATTAAATATTCACTAAATTGTGTAGTCTTATGAAGTGGCTTAACTTTATATTTTTTTTCATTTTCTTTATAATGTATTGGTTATTATTATTAATGAGATTATTATTAATAATTATTATTATTATAGTTATTATTATCTGAATTATACAAATATGCAGTGAGTAAATTGAATATTTTAGAAAACCATTCAACATGCAAGTGTGTGTGTGTGTGTGTGTGTGTGTGTTTGTTTGAAAGTGTGTGTGTGCGAGTGTGTACATGTGCGTGTGAGAAAGTGTGTTGGTGTGTGTGAGTGAGTGAGAGAGAGTGTGTGTGATTAAAAAGGGAGTCTGACATTTTTTGTGATTGTCACAGTGTAGATTACACACACTATCCATGAAACATAATCAAGAACCGCCCTTGGGGCTGACGAGGGCATGGCTGAATTGGAGCAGGACAGCGCAGTCTCACCCCAAAAAGTCATATAACTGATGTCTTGGGACGTCTTTTGACCATACGTCAATATTCGCCTTTTTAGGGCCCCCTTAAACGTCGGTAGATGAGGTTATGGGATCCTAACTCTACCCCAGACCTAAACCTAACCCTAAACCTAACCCGTCACCTAACTGACGTTAAAGGTAAAGCGTCAGTTGTATGACGGCCCGGGATCGCCATCTAGCGACGTTTAAGGGGGCCCTAAAAAGGCGAAAATTGACGTATGGTCAAAAGACGTCCCAAAACGTCAGTTATATGACTTTTTGGGATGAGAATGTGTTGAGCAGGAAGCCTCCAGGGCGGAGCAGGCTGAGGGTGTGACCAGAGCGGAGCAGAACGAGGGCATGGCGGAGCAAGCTGAGGGCGTGACCAGGGCGGAGCAGGTTAGGGGCGTGGCGGAGCAGGCTGAGGTGTTTGACCAGGGCAGAGCAGGACGTGGACGTGGCGAGCAGGCTGAGGGCGTGGCCAGGGCGGAGCAGGCTGAGGGCATGACCAGGGCGGAGCAGGCTGAGAGCGTTGCCAGGATGGTGAAGACCCTTCAGGCGGCAAACGGTGGTGAAGACCCTTCAGATATTGAGATATTTATAATGGCATAAATGCTATGTGGGATCTCAATATCTCAGCTCTGGAAGGGTCTAGAGGTGGTCGTTTTTTTTTTTTTTTTGGTGCGAAAAATTAAGTTTCTCCAATCTTCTTGAAACTCTGGATTCTGATAGAGGGCCATGGGACTTAGACCTGAGTGCAAAAATTGAGGCTCTAGACCCTTCCAGAGCTGAGATATTGAGATCCCACGTAGCATTTATGCCATTATAAAAATAGTGGGTTTGTGGACGGTGGAATTATGGGATGGCGCTTGGTGCTACGGACTCAGGGGCCCCAGCTGATTGCAGTAAAATAGTTTTATCATGAAAGAAACTTTAATTAAAATGTCCAAAAAATACGCTACCCAAATCCCCATTCAATAGATTGCAGGCGGGATTGTGTCCATTTGCAGGTTATTGCATGAATGCCGGGGTTAGTACGTTTAAAAAATAGTGGGTTATTGGACACATAGTGGGTTCATGGACACCGAAGGTTCTACAAACCGAAAGGTTGGTGGTTCAATCCTCGGTTCCACTTGACCAAGTGTCGAGGTCTCCATGAGCAAGACACCTAACCCCAGCTGCTCCCGACGAGCTGGATGGCGCCTTGCATGGCTGACACCGCCGTCCGTGTATGAATGTGTGTGTGAATGGGTGAATGTGAGGCAATATGTAAAGCGCTTTGGTGGCCAGCATTAGGTCTATGAAATCGCTATATAAATGCAGTCCATTTACCATTTTACCATTTCTTGAAACTCTGGATTCTGATAGAGGGCCATGGGACTTAGATCTGAGTGCAATAATGGAGGCTCTAGACCCTTCCAGAGCTGAGATATTGAGATGTTTATAATGCCATACATGCTATGTGGGATCTAAATATCTCAGCTCTGGAAGGGTCTAGAGCCTCCATTTTTGCACTCAGGTCTAAGTCCCATGGCCCTCTATCAGAATCCAGAGTTTCAAGAAGATCAGAGAAACTCAAAATTTTGACCCCCAAAAAAAAAAAAAAAAAAAACGACAGTGGTAGCCCTGTCTTTTTTGTTTTTGTGCGAAAAAATACGTTTCTCCAATCTTCTTGAAACTCTGGATTCTGATAGAGGGGCATGGGACTTAGACCTGAGTGCAAAAATGGAGGCTCTACACCCTTTCAGAGCTGAGATTTTGAGATATTTATAATGGCATATATGTTATGTGGGATCTAAATATCTCAGCTCTGGAAGGGTCTAGAGCCTCCTTTTTTGCAATCAGGTCTAAGTCCCATGGCCCTCTATCAGAATCCATAGTTTCAAGAAGATCAGAGAAACTCAAAATTTTGACCCCCCCCCCCAAAAAAAAAACGACAGTGGTACCCCTGTCGTTTTTTTTTTTTTTGTGCGAAAAAATAAGTTTCTCCAATCTTCTTGAAACTCTGGATTCTGATAGAGGGCCGTGAGACTTAAACCTGAGTGCAAATGGAGGCTCTAGACCCTTCCAGAGCTGAGATATCAAAACTCAAAAATTCGACCCGAAAAATAAACGACAGTGGTACCCCTTTCCTTTTTTTTTTTTCGGGCAAAAAATTAAGTTTCTCCAATCTTCTCAAAACTCTGGATTCTGATAGATGGCCATGAGACTTAAACCTGAGTGCAAAAATGGAGGCTCTAGACCCTTCCAGAGCTGAGATATCGAAACTCAAAAATTCGACCCGAAAAAAAAACGACAGTGGTACCCCTTTCGTTTTTTTTTTTTTTCGGGCGAAAAATTAAGTTTCTCCAATCTTCTCAAAACTCTGGATTCTGATAGAGGGCCATGAGACTTAGACCTGAGTGCAAAAATGGAGGCTTTAGACCCTTCCAGAGCTGAGATATCAAAGCTCAAAAATTCGACCCGAAAAAAAAACGACAGTGGTACCCCTTTCGTTTTTTTTTTGGGGGGGGGCGAAAAATTAAGTTTCTCCAATCTTCTCAAAACTCTAGATTCTGATAGAGGGCCATGACACTTAGACCTGAGTGCAAAAATGGAGGCTCTAGACCCTTCCAGAGCTGAGATATCGAAACTCAAAAATTCGACCCGAAAAAAAACCGACAGTGGTACCCCTTACGTTTTTTTTTTTTTTGGGCGAAAAATTAAGTTTCTCCAATCTTCTAAAAACTCTGGATTCTGATAGAGGGCCATGAGACTTACGCCTGAGTGCAAAAATGGAGGCTCTAGACCCAAAACTCTCTAGAAAAAAAATAAGTTTCTCCAATCTTCTCAAAACTCTGGATTCTGTTAGAGGGCCATGAGACTTAGACCTGAGTGCAAAAATGGAGGCTTTAGACCCT